ATTGTTGATCTTATAGTTAATATTATAAAAGAAGAAAAGTTTTTAAATAAATTAGATGCAAACAAGAAAAATATTCAAAAAGGGAAATTTGATAAATTTGTATCCAATTTAATTATTCATAGTTTATTTTTCGAAAATTCATTTAATATCTTTTTAATTTATTTTTTTTTTTCTATCAATAAAAATACTGTTATATTTGGAGATTCTAGTTTCTTCTACTAATTAAATAAATATAACTAATTGCCTTTTTTAATCAAAATAACATAAAGAACTCTTTTCTATTAGATTATTTAATATTTTCTATGAAATTTTTAGCTATTTTTAAATTGATTATTATTTTCACAATAGATTTTGATTAAGGCAGCTTTTTTCTTATGCTCAAAAATATTCAATATTGGTTTTATTACAAATTTCAATTTTTGATAAATAAATTTTTTTAAGATCTCTCACCTGATAATATGAAAATAATATTTATATTTTCAATTTATGTTCTTAATTAAAGCTTTATATATTTAAATACTCATTATTAACGCCAATCAAATTTTCTTTAAGATTTTTATTATATAATCTAAGAAAAATGGAAGTATTATGAAGTATGAAAAGAATTGCATTTATTTGTTATAGAAATCAAAATTTTGATAAGTTACTTATTATATTTAGAAATTTTGTACAATAAATTTAATCTGGTTTATGAAATTATTAAATCACTTTAGAAATTACATTAATCTTAAAATTATAGAATTTAAACTTGATTCCTTACTTTTACAATTTAGATGATGTTAAGCCTATAGAAATATGCATTTAGAGGTTTTCTATTGAGTATAAGTCTTAAAATCTAGTTAAATACATAAATCTATATTATTTCATATCAAAGAGGATTACATAAATTAATTTACCTTGAAAACTTAATTGAGAAATGAAGCTAAAATATAAATTCTTTGCAGAATTAAATTTCATCAAAGCTTGATATATATCCTAGGATTATACCTAAGGTTTGGACTAGTCTCTTTTCATCTTTTTACAAGTTTTTCAGAAAGGATGAAGAAAAAGAGCATCTTCACCATTTTTAACTAGAATCCTTTGAATAAGCTTAGTGAAGCTAAAAACAAATAAATAAAGCTCCAATAGTTACTCAAATTCATATACGATTATATATAAATAAAAAATATAATAAAATAAATATTCCACAACTTCCCCAATAAAAGTAAAATATAATTGAATATAGACATTAAATTCTCTTATTAAGCCAGAAATTATAGCTCGTAATCCTAAAAATATTAAGTGTTATTTTATTAGAATCTATGAAAATGAAAAACATCAGAATAAATTTTGTATTCTATATTTAATAAACAATAATATTTTAATGCTCAAAAATAGAGAGAATATATCTTAGAATTGAAATAAAATCAAAAAGCAAATTTTTTTTTGGCATATTATATATAATAGTTATCCATTTAAGCATCCAATATTTTTTTTGATAAATTTGAGTATCTATGTAATTAAAAAATTTTAAATCGAAATAATGTTATTTTACAACATTTTGATACAAAAGTTGATTATTCAAAACAAGTACAACCTAAAGAAAATCGCATTATTCTGATTCCCTATAAAAAAATAAAAATTATCAATGAGAATAGTCAAACATAAAATTGTAAATTATATATGCTCTAACAGTTAAATTTATATTAATATTTATTAATATTGCCTTTAAATATATCCAAAGAATAAAATTCATTGCTGTGTATAAAAAAAAAGAATTAATTATCTTATTGTTATTTTAAATTTCTTTAATTAAGACTGATTCCCTCAAATATTTAACTAATTAATTAAATTAATTTTTGATTATCATAAAAAATATCAATTTTGAGGAAAACGATATTTTAAAAATAACTAAGTAAACCCTCTAACATAGCAAGAAGTTATTTATTAAGCTTATATTGTAACAAATATCAATAACTTTTCATAAACACTTAACAAATATTGAATTTATAAAATGCTTCTGTCACTAAATTTGCTAAAAGTTTAATTGATATACTTTTTAAAGAATCATAAAAAATTTCTAAGAATCTTAATCAAATATAATAAATACTAAATTCGTTTGTGAATTTATTACTACAAAACTCTAAAACTTAACTCTAATACAGAAAATCCAAGTTTTCAGGAACGTTTAAATCTTCATAATAAAATCCTTTTTAGCTATTCTAAAATAACTATTCTAATGATTATTTGAAGTAAAATATTTTAATTTCAAAAGAAAATAGCATTATATACCTGAATTTGAAGGGAAAACAACCAAAAGATTTTCTTATATATCAAGCAGTTGTCATTTTGAAATTAAGAATAATCAAATTAAACGAAGAAATTCAAAATAATAAAAATTAATATATTAAATTTTGTTATTAAACCAGAACTAATTAGAATTGAATTTTAATAAACAAATCGATAAATATAAGTGGATGTAAAGTTTAATATAGAATTTTTTCGTAAAAATTGTACATTTTTTTTATTTATATAATATATTGAAAGTTTAAGCCAAAATTATAATAAGAAATGGTATTTCAATTTTTAGATGTATTAAATATCATTTATATGATTAGGAAATATTCTTTTACTTATTAAACCATAAATTAGAAATTTAAGAAGTAAAATGTTTATTTTTCTATTAAAAAATAATTATGAATGATTAAATTTTAAATATTTCTTGATTTATGATTTGATTAAATTAAATAAAATGTAAATAAATAGTCTAAGTTTGCTAATATTTATTCTTCGAGCTTTATTTGAGTATTGCATTAAGTTATTAAAGATAAGTTTATTCAAGTTGCAATTATATAAAAACAGAGTCTACAATATTGAGCTTGTCTAATCCGTAGCAAGAAATAAATGTTGAATTGGAAAGTGAGATTTTAAACTCCATAGAAAATATTGGATATGGTTTATGGATCAAATATCAGCCTTTCATTTCAATTACAGATATAAGTAATGTATAATTAATGAAAGAATCATCAGGTTAATCAGATATGAGTTCAGTATCATAAGGGCAGTTCGTATATTTACTATAGTAGAAGGAAACAAAATTAAATATCTTAGCATTTTATATATCTATTTCTGATCAAACATAAACCATTACTCATAATGTGTTCTATTCATTCAAATAAAAAACTGATACTTTAGTATTTAATTTTGAGCATGAAAAATATGAAGGATAATGGATATTATTTTATTTTTATTTTAATCTCGAAGCAGAAACAACCATAATAGGATTTTTTTCATTTGAATAGAGTATTACAACACAAACATAGATAATAAATGACATGCCTGCTCTTGTTAAAGAAATTAGACATTAAATAGGAGGAGAATATGAGATAACAAATTAGTTGGGAGAGAAATTATAATTAAATTAGTTTCTTGGAAGATTGTCAACAGTTTTCAGTTCAGGGTCAGTAAATATATATTAAGACTTGGAAAATTTTTTATTAGATTGTAAAATTGAGACTGAGTGTCAAGGATCTACTTATACATTATCAAATAACTATTAAGCATTTTTTGGATAGAGTTATTCATTTGGAACTACAAATGAATTAGAATATCCAATATATGTAATAAAAGGATGGTTAAAACTATAACCATTCGATAAATCACCTCTTGATACTGTCATATTTAGAGTAACAATAAATCAAGATTACTAAGATGACTTGAAGATTGGAGATAAAGATATATATTTACAATATCATCAGAATAGTATTCCAGAATCAAATGGATTTACAATAAGTACCTATTCATATACTTTTCCTACTTCAAACAGATACACAAATACTGCTACCTATGTTATAAGTGATTTTGAAGCATAATATTTGGAATTACTTATTAAGTGGCATTATATTTAATATGAAATTGGAACAAATAATAACCAAGGTCAACCTATTTTTAAGATACATTTCCCATCTTTAATAAATAAGTAGAGAATTTTTTAATGGAACAATTAGATCAAACATTTTACAGGAACAAAAATGTAATATTATGTTGGAGGCAATAAATAAAGTACAAACTATCTTAGAGGACACATTAGTGATATGTAATTAATCACTTATTGCACAACTCCTATTATTACACTATCTCCTAACTGTCATTATTCATGTCTAACTTGTGATGGTCCTAATAGTAACAACTGTTTATCATGTCCATTAAATAGTCAAAGAATCTAATCTTCAACTTAAAAGATTTGTGCTTGCAAAAAGAAATATTTAGATATTCAAAATTAAGCAGTTTGTTAACAAATATCAGAAATCTTCCCATATATGACAGAAGTGGAATCAGAATTATAATGTGATTCCCATGGTTATGATGTTTGTACTGAAGAAGAAAGAGAATGTTCATTTGGTTATTTCAATCATTTCTATTATGATTATTGCTTATAATGGTATCATATAAATTAATTATAGTCCTGGATATTCATCATTAAATACGAGAAATGTGATTTTATGTTCTAATTGTTTATTTTATCCAGAAGAATTTAAATATGAATTGAATTGTTATCAAGATACTATCACATATAAGAATAATGAAGATTATTCATATTCAACAGTCAAAAAATTGGAGAAAGATATAGAATAATATGATTTGATTACTAATGAAAATGGAGATTATGAATTATTTCTAATGTAAGGATTTTTAAATTTATATGAATGTAAAAATGGATACTTTTAAATAAATGATAAATGTATTTCCTGTGTTAAAGGATGTCAAACATGCTAAAATGAATCAATTTGCGAAACTTGTTATTCTGATTATGCTTTAACATTAGATTAATCATGTACGCATTGTTAAGGATGTTTAGATTGTACTATATTATCTGAAACAATTATATGCAATAAATGTGCAATTGGAACATATCTGTCATCAAATGGCTCTTGTATTCCTTGTGGATAGAATTGTTCAATATGTGATTCAAATGGTATTTGTCAATATTGTGTTGATCCTTCAATGTATTTTTAAACATTTGATGGTCATAATTGCCAACCTTGCAGCATTACAAATTGTATTTATTGCTATTAATACTATTTTAAAAATGGGATTGTTTATACAACTCTTGATAACAATTATGAAATTCTTGAATCAAATTAAGAATAATTCTTTATTGGATGTGCTCTTTGTTAACCTAATCTTTATTATAATTAAGTAACAATGACTTGTTCATAAAAACCTCCTACATCTTAAACAACTGATGATTGCACTTTTGGCATCATTATCAATTCTTCTGGCGATAATTAATGTTTAATTAGTAGTACTAAGAGCAATACTTCAACATAAAATACCGATTGCTTATCTATATCAAACTGTTAGCAATGTATCAAAAAATATAATAAAACCAATAATTTTTGTATAGTTTGCGTAGATGGGTTTTATTCGTCAATATTAACAGGTTAATGTTTAAAATGTGATTCTAATTGTAAAACATGCGCTTAATAGAGTTAAACTTATCAAGATTATTGGAAATGGAATATAAAGGCATATTATAAATATGTTTTTAATTAAGATGATTCTCGCCCTTTTGAATCATATGATGAAGAAACATTCCAAAATAATTTTGAAGTTATTTGCACATCCTGTCCTTTAGGGTTTATTTTGAATCAACTTAAGTGTATAAAAAATTGTGATTTGGGATGTAATAAATGCGAAATAATAAATGGGATTGCCACATGTATATAATGTTAGGAAACTCCATATGGATTTTTAAAAAGTAGAGATTCAAATGGAAATTGTATGGCTTGTCCAAATAATTGTGAAGCATGTTTAGAAAGGACTGACAATGAAATTAAAAAAATAAATCCTTACTTCATTCCCAATCTAACAAACAAAAAATATACAAGAAAATGCTTTGAAAAATTCAATTTAGATTCTCCTTAGGATTAGTACTTTTATGATCAATTCTTAAAAACGATAACTGTTTGCTAAAAATATAATAAATGCTATCATTAAGTTATTTTTGTTCAAAACATTTATTGTTCTTAAGCTCATTTTAATAGCATTGCAAATAGTTTATCAGGAGAAACTTTAAATGCTTTTAAGATGAAAAATATTTACATATCTGACCTCTTTAAAATGGGCTATTTATCTACTGTTGAAACCTAAGAATTATTTTGGTATCTAAATGAGAAAGTAATAAGGAAAGTAGTTTTTGAATATACTCTAATTTAAAAATAGGGAGAGGTTTGTACCATTCCATCAAAGTCTAAACTCAATTAAAAAATTCAATAAAATGTTTTTGCTGTTTAAACTGTTGATCTAAAATTTATTGGACAGTTTTACCCAACTATTGTAATAATAAAGGATTCATTAACTTTAGGCAACTTTACAGCGATTACTTTTAAAAATATAAAATTCGTTTTAAATAATAGTTTTCAAGTGAAAGATTTAATTTATTTCTAAACAAAATCTTTAGAAATACAAGATTGTATTTTAACTGCAATTAAAAATATAGACATACTTGTAGCCTTATTTTAACTTGATAGTTCGTCTTTGAATATCATTAATTTAATAATAGAAAACTTAATATGTGATGGGGATATATTTAAATTGAGATCATCTGTTTAGTTAAAAGTTCATAATTTAAATATAAACAATTCACATTTTTTAGGAGGTGCAATATTTCGTAACATAGGCAGCAAACTCTTCGACACTGTGAATATTCATATGAAATCTATAAATATCTCTAATACAACATTTGAAAGATCAGCTTTTATGGTAATAGGCGAAATGTCAACCACTTTCAATCCCAATGTATTGATTCAAGAAGTTATGTTAAATGCAGTTACAGTTAAATAAAGTTAATGGTTTAGAATTCTAGTGGCATCAGAGTTTAAACTTTAGGGTTTAATTATCTTAGATAGTATTATTTAGTTAAACTCATAACTTTATTATTCCAAAACCTTTGAATTATAGGATACATATATAAACAATACAAATATTTCGAATAGTACTATTTTTAGTATTGAAGTTGAAGAAGAGGAAACTTAACTTAATAATCTATCAATTATTAATTGCACAATTAAAAATGTTTATTAAATAATTTGTTTTTTTGTAAAACATTAGAATTATATTAATGCTCTGAAGTATTAAAAAGGTCAGAGTTTAAGTAAATATATTAGGTTTTTCAAAATAATTATTATTTTTATGTATTAATCTTTTTTTATATATTCTTATCTATAGAATTGTAAATCATTTCTCTTATTCCCTTAAATGCTCTAAAACATCTGACCGACAATTTGGACATTTCGTACTACTTTAAAGCCAAATTTCAACACAAGATTTGTGATATATATGTTTGCAAGGTAGCTGTATAATTAGTTCATCTATTTATATAAAAATTTAGTACCTTTTTAGAATTAGTTACAGCATATACTACATAGTCTGTTTGATTTCCCCATTTTCATCTTCTTCAATTTTTATAAATATTACTTTGGTACTCCATGATCCTTTTAAAAAATCTTCTCAACATCATACTGCCACAGCTAAAGCTATAGTTCCTAAATTTGCAATATTTGTTATTATATACTTATATTTCCTATCTCAGTTAATTAGCGACTAATAATTAAAAGCTTTATTACCTTCATCCCATCTTCTTGATATANGCTATTTATCTACTGTTGAAACCTAAGAATTATTTTGGTATCTAAATGAGAAAGTAATAAGGAAAGTAGTTTTTGAATATACTCTAATTTAAAAATAGGGAGAGGTTTGTACCATTCCATCAAAGTCTAAACTCAATTAAAAAATTCAATAAAATGTTTTTACTGTTTAAACTGTTGATCTAAAATTTATTGGACAGTTTTACCCAACCATTGTAATAATAAAGGATTCATTAACTTTAGGCAACTTTACAGTGATTACTTTTAAAAATATAAAATTGGTTTTAAATAATAGTTTTCAAGTGAAAGACTTAATATATTTCTAAACAAAATCCTTAGAAATACAAGATTGTATTTTAACTGCAATTAAAAATATAGACATACTTGTAGCCTTATTTTAACTTGATAGTTCGTCTTTGAATATCATTAATTTAATAATAGAAAACTTAATATGTGATGGGGATATATTTAAATTGAGATCATCTGTTTAGTTAAAAGTTCATAATTTAAATATAAACAATTCACATTTTTTAGGAGGTGCAATATTTCGTAACATAGGCAGCAAACTCTTCGACACTGTGAATATTCATATGAAATCTATAAATATCTCTAATACAACATTCGAAAGATCAGCTTTTATGGTAATAGGCGAAATGTCAACCACTTTCAATCCCAATGTATTGATTCAAGAAGTTATGTTAAATGCAGTTACAGTTAAATAAAGTTAATGGTTTAGAATTCTAGTGGCATCAGAGTTTAAACTTTAGGGTTTAATTATCTTAGATAGTATTATTTAGTTAAACTCATAACTTTATTATTCCAAAACCTTTGAATTATAGGATACATATATAAACAATACAAATATTTCGAATAGTACTATTTTTAGTATTGAAGTTGAAGAAGAGGAAACTTAACTTAATAATCTATCAATTATTAATTGCACAATTAAAAATGTTTATTAAATAATTTGTTTTTTTGTAAAACATTAGAATTATATTAATGCTCTGAAGTATTAAAAAGGTCAGAGTTTAAGTAAATATATTAGGTTTTTCAAAATAATTATTATTTTTATGTATTAATCTTTTTTTATATATTCTTATCTATAGAATTGTAAATCATTTCTCTTATTCCCTTAAATGCTCTAAAACATCTGACCGACAATTTGGACATTTCGTACTACTTTAAAGCCAAATTTCAACACAAGATTTGTGATATATATGTTTGCAAGGTAGCTGTATAATTAGTTCATCTATTTATATAAAAATTTAGTACCTTTTTAGAATTAGTTACAGCATATACTACATAGTCTGTTTGATTTCCCCATTTTCATCTTCTTCAATTTTTATAAATATTACTTTGGTACTCCATGATCCTTTTAAAAAATCTTCTCAACATCATACTGCCACAGCTAAAGCTATAGTTCCTAAATTTGCAATATTTGTTATTATATACTTATATTTCCTATCTCAGTTAATTAGCGACTAATAATTAAAAGCTTTATTACCTTCATCCCATCTTCTTGATATAGCTTCATCAATTCCAAATTATTCAGATTATTATCCCTCTAAAATTAATTCATTTGTATACCACTTCTATCTTCTACTATTTAAATCATTGTATATTTATTTGTTCCTTTATTTTAATAGTTTTTTTCTGTTATTATAATTAATAATCAATAAAATGTCAAAATAATATAATTATAAATAAAATAACTAAACAAAAAGTAGCTATTTCCATGGTCTAATCATATACGAATGTTTATTTTAGGAAATGTTGGAAAAAATTTAAATTTGCTCTTCTTTTCTTATTAAATTAAAGTCTTTTTTATTAATTTTTAAATCTTATTCTTTAAGAATAATTAATTCATGTATTAAAATTATTTAAAAATTAAATAGTTATTTTTTTGATCAATTCGATTTTCAAATAAAATTGTTTTATATATATTATTGCAATTTCATTAGTTTGTTTAATGGAATTGGGAAAAAAAGTTATTAAAGAAATATAAAAATTATTTAAATGAATAAAAAGTGAATAATACATTTGATTTTTATATTTCTTAATTAAAATAGTTCTAAAGAATTTGAAAATTATTGATCTCAGGGTTTGGTCTGATAAAATTTAATTTGAATCAATACATAATGATGATTCAATATTTAATTAATTCATTACAATAAACTATAAATTTGGAAAAATAAGCCAAATTAAATTAATATTATCTTTTCTCAATAATGTAGGTGCTAATCAAACAAAAATTATTATTGCTATGAATGTTAGTACTGTAAAACTACTAGCATCATAAGAAGCATAAATAATAAATTACTATCTTAGAGTAATTATAAACATAANTAATAATTAGTAAGCTATCATAATTTTAACTTAAAAAGGAAAGATCAGAACTCTAAATGTTTCAATAAAGTAATTTACATTATCAACATGTATGCTTACAGTAAAAATTGAGAGCAATATTATTTTTTATCAAAACTCTATTATCTATATAGAATGCTAAACTTGTATATTGGAGGATGTAGAAATTCAAAGAGGGCATGGTTTACCAGAAATAACAATTTTAAACTCTTAGATTCTAATATTAAATAGGATCAAATTTACTTAATCTATTTTATTTCACTCCAAAACACTTCATTAATCAGTTAATTGTATGCTCAATTAAGCTTATGAAAACATGTATTTTTATTTATACATAGGATAATATCAGAATATTTCAATCAATAATTTAGAGTTGTCCGATTCTATTACTTATAATAATCCTTTTATAATTATTAAATCTTATGATTTGGTAGATAAAATACAAAATGAATATATAAACATCCTGAATAGTAAATTTGAATCAAACATGTTAATTATAACCTAAAAAAATACTGTTTCTTCGATTATATCATTATTTTCTGAATAAAATTGCAAAATAAATATAGAAAGCGTAGTATTTAATAACAATCATTTAAATAAATACATTTAAGATTTAACAAGATAATCAGCATCCACCTTATTACTTCAATTATAATAGGGCGATGTTTAAATATCTAATACAGTTTTCAGATAAAATCTTGTTACAAATTCAACTGATTCAATATTATATATTAGATCAATGGTTGTTTACTTTCAGAAAAATCAGTTTTTAAACAACAATATTTTGTAAATTTCTATTTTAGTTAAGAATCTATTATTATTTTAAGATTAAGATCATTATGATGGAATTAGTCTGATGTAAACATTTCCAATTAAATCAGAAGGTGGAAATGGTTTGATAATTGCAAATATAATCTCAATAGATGAGACATCAGTCAATAATTCCTATTCGTAGTATGGAGGTGGGTTCTACATAGTAGCTTAAGATACAGGTACTATCCATATTTAAAACTCAATCTTTTAAAATACTTTAACTAGTTTATCTAGTGATTCATTTTCAACAGGAGGTTGCCTCTACATAGATGCTTAATTATCAGAGTTACATCTTAAAATAGATTCAACTACTATTGAAAACTCATTTAGTAGAATTTAAGGAGGTGGCATTTATATTGTACCTTCATAACAATTAAACTATGTTAATCTATAAAATTTAACCATAATAAATTGCTTTTCCATCTAAATTGGTTTCTTTTCATACTTACTATCAAGTCTTTAGAGTATAAATTCCAAAGTTTTATTTAGTGGAACATAATTTAGAGTGACATAAGCTGGTTTCATGAAATTTTTGTCTCTTTTAGAATCGCCTACTAATGATGATATAGATTTTATTAGAAATAATAATCCTTAGATTAAAATCAAATTTGGTTCAGTATCAATCAAAAATTGCAGTTTTATTTCAACCCATATTAAATTTTTGATTGATATTGAATTTGCAACCAATATTTTGATGAAAGATATTTTCATTCTGAATTCTACATTTTTATCTTCTCCTTTGATTAGATTAAGTTTAAGAAAATGTAAAAATTTATAAATATTACTTAGAGTTTACTGGAAATATTTTGTTAATAAATATTAATGCAAAAAATGTGCAATAGCATACTAATTTTTCGGATTTGCAGTAGTGTTAAATTTCAACATATCCAACACTTTAATCTTTAATATGTTCGAGTGGAATCCCATAGGAAAATCCTATCATAGATGATTATGATACATCTCTTTAATAGGAGTAATTATTAATTTGTAATTAAAATGAAGTTTATTAATATGAAAATTATAGTTTTAGTTTGTTTGAAATAGATAACTTGAATTTAAATCATAGTTTTGAAGTTTAAGGATTAAATCTTGAATCAATTATATGTGGATCTTGTGAATATGGCATCTTCAGAATTAAAGGTATAGTTTAATCATAAATTGAAAATATCCTTTTTAATAACATTAACATATTTAATTGTTAATGTGGATAAACAGGGTGCCTTTCATTAATACAATCAGAAGATGAATCTTTTTTAAGAAGCGATTTACTATAAACTGATAGGAGAATCCTTCAGAAACAAAATTACACAAAATTAATATTAAAGTTAGAACATTAAGCTAGGATAGTTAATAGTAATTTTTTTAATAACAATGCTATATATGGAGGATCAGTTTTAATTGTTTCAACAAATACAATAATTCATAATTGTCGATTTTGGAATAATAAAGCTGAAATAGGAGGGGCAATTTATTATTCAAATGAAATGTAAATGATCATATTTGATAGTCAAATAATTGAAAATTAGGCTAAAATTGCTGGTGGATTGTATTTGAATAAATAGTAACTTTAGACAACATTTCTCTTAGAAGTATTTTTATCTAATAATAATTCAACTTTTTTTGGATCAGATGTTTCTGAAAATCCAAGATCTTTGACAATATCTATAGATGGAGGATAGACCTTGTTAACAAAAGTTAAAGTCGAATAAAGTTCAACTATGATTATCGAGAAAATAGTAATTCCTCCCTCTAAGTTATTAGGATAATCTGAAAGAGTAAAATATTTAACATTTCCTTCTGGCAGATAAATATTTTCTTATGAATTTTTTGATTTATCTCAATCGGAGTATATTCCTTATAATCTAACATTTCGAATAATCGCTCTTAATAAATACAACACTCAAGAGAAAAGATTAGCTGGAAGTACTTGCACTTTGACTCCTACAATTATTAACATTACTAATGAAGAAACAATGCAAGGATTACTTGGAACTTTATCCTACAATAAAGTGTAATTTAATGATAGTACTGGTGATTACAATCTAGATGATTTAATCATATACTTCAATCCGAAATATGATGATGATATTGTCTTAAGATTAGATATACAATGTAATATTATTTAAATTCCATAATATGAAGTTACTCCTCCTTATTTAATTAAGAATTATATAACCAATTATAACTTATTAGTAGATATCAAAACTTTCTAATGTTAATTAGGAGAATTTTTTAATGCAACTTCTGGAAGCTGTACATTATGCGACATAATTTAAGGGCAATACTAAGTATAATCGTACGCTTAGAGTTGCAGTTATAAAGATGACCTAAAAGTTAAATCTATAAAATCTTCTATGATTGAATTAAGAAAAAGTTATTGGAGGGCATATTACTATAGTACAACTTTAGAATATTGTTATCACTAACCTGAAAATTGTAATGGAGGATGGTCACCAGGAGATTAATCTTGCACAGTTGGACATATAGGTGCTTTATGTGAGTAATGTGATTTATATAATATTCGAGGAGATGGATCATACTATGTAAGTTCTACATATTCGTGTGGCACCTGCTAATAAATTTTTATAAATGTATTAACTATAGTTTCCATTAGCATTTGGACTCTTATTTCAATTTTTATGTCTGTAAGCAGCACTGTTCAGATGATTGAAGAATATATTATTGGAATTAGATTAAAAGCACTTGGAATTGCTGTTGTAATAAATTAAGTTTCTACTGCTATACTAATTAAGATATTCACAAACTATCTATAAATCATTTCAACCATTAGTACATTCTAACTGTAAGTACCTTCAGAACTTGTATCAGTAGTTAATAGTGTTGGAAATCCAATTGAATCAATGGCATATTCTCTGGATTGCTTTTTAATAAACGTTTCAGATATTCCAATCATTTACTTTAGAATTATCTGGAGTCTAATTATGGCATTTTTATATATAACAGTGTTTTTCATTTTAGGTGGAATAGCAATAATATTTAACTTCAAATAATATAAGTTTTCATATATTCCTACAGCTCTTATTTATGTTTTTATCTTTTTACAACCAAATTTAATAGGTAGTTTAATCTCTTAAATATCCTATAGAGTGATTTCAGATGAATATTGGATTCAAGGTAATGTTGCCTATCGTTATGATACAGATCTTCATGTTAAATGGTTATTAGGTTTTTGTATTCCCTTATAGTTATTCTTTGGAGCCATAATCCCTGCATACTTGTGGTATATATTAAGAAAAAATTAACATCGTTTAGATCGTATTTAAGTGAGATAAATTTGGGGCTACCTTTATAATGAATATAAATTACATGCTTATTATTGGGAAACAGTTAAAATCTTTTAAAAAGAATTAATCATAATTGTATTAGCTTATTATGATGATTATATTGCAATTAAAGCATCCCTTGTATTTTTAGTGCTATTTGGATATAGTTTTCTTTTTACTGCTCAAAAACCTTATATGTCTGGCGATCTTAATTACTTAGACTCAAAATTGACTGTTGCCTGTGCAGTTTCATTCATATTAGGCAGCTCAATTTACACAGCATAATAATCAAATTTATAAGAAATTGTTTGGCCATTCTATATAATTATTGGAATTTTAAATGCCTTGTCCATTGCATAAATGCTTATTAAAATATTATTTGCCTATTTTGTTAAATTAAGCGATAAAATTGATTTAGTTAAAGATTTTATTAAAAGACATTTCCCTAATTTCGTCAATAAGCATCCATTTATAACTAAATTATTAGAAAGTAGAAAATAAAAATAAGAGAGAATTAGAAATAGATTTAGAAAATTAAGAACTTATTTAATAAAATAAGCTAAAAAGAGATTAGGATTAAAAAAGGAATAAATAACCATAATTTCTAACTTAATTAATTCAGAACATCCAGGATTAAACAATACTTCTTTCTCCTTTAGAAAAATCGAAATTCCGTTTTTATAAATCTGAGTTATTTAAACATATAATTATTAATATTTAAAGGATGTTTGTATTATCTATATTCAAATGAAAATTCTTTGAGAAGAGTAAATAAATGTAATTTCATGTATTGATGATAATTTGGTTTTCAATTGAGTTTGACTAAACAAAAAAAATCGTATTTGTAAGAGAGTGGTGCGTTTTTTTTTAAAAGAATACACAATTTATGTTGCTAAGTGTCTAGAATGATGTGAAAAATAACCTTGGAAAAATTACTATGTTCTTAAAAAACTTCCTTAAAATCTCAAGATTTAGATATTAAATTAATTAGAGACATTAAAACTTAATCCAAGAGATTTCCACTAAAATTTTCGAAATTAATGTTCTACATAGATCTACTTAAACATGATGAAACGCAGAAATACTCTTAAATTAAGGGGTAATTTATTAAATTTTAATAAACAACCTCATAATCTTCAAGGAATAACTTGATTTATTCTAACAATATATCTTGATTTTAATGGGAAATCATATTCCATTTTTCAAGACAACATTTTAATAACAATTCTGTTGATAATTAATTTTTAGAAGATTTAATAGATATCAAAGCTAAAGTCTAGCATCTATCTGATGTTATTGAAAAATATACTACTAATTAAGTAGAATCAATAACAGACATAGGATATTAAAGATATAATTATCATACTTAATGATAAATTTTGTATTAAGTATAAAAGTTAATCATATTTCAATATATATAAATTATCAGAATTTTTTTTAATATTATTTAAATATTTCTCTTTCCTAATTTATTTTAAATATTAAAATAGATTAAAAATAATGAAAATTAAAATAATTCTTCAAAATATCATTGTTAAAAGCTTTAATTATATTAAATCTATTCATTAATCGATTAGAAGAATAATCAACTTTTTCTCATAATTTCTATTTAGGTAATACAAAAACAATCACTAACCTTATCATAATTTTTTACCGCTTTATCATCCTATAATTTATATCTTAATTAATTCAGTATATAGATTGTTCAGATATTTCCAACTAGATTCTTCTCTTGATGGCTTTAACATATTTAAAATTTACTTCCACTAAAGCAGATTTGAGAATTCTTAAAAGCATTTAGAAATTATAAATATTAAATCTGCCAAAATTAAATTATATAAAACAAAAAAAAATTAAAAATTAATACTTAATCAGTACTAAATATTGATAATAATATCATAATTAACTTTAACAAAGAATCATGATAAACATATAATTAATTTTTAGTCTTTAAATTAAGCTATATCATAAACATTATCATTATGGTTTTGTAATTTTGCAAAAAGTAGAATTGTTCTATCTGAATCAAATCATATCAAAAAATGATCTACGGCTACCATTTGCTTTAACAGATAATACAAAAATCTAATTTAGACATTAGAATGAATTAAGTAATGGGAACCAAGTATAAAAAAAAGGATTGACATTGTGTTGGTGATCAAACAATGAGAAATTTAGCTTAAATAAATGTGATTGAAAAAATTTACTTTAAAAAGTGGAAAAGGCAAAATTTTTGAGGGTCAATTAATTAATTGAAGAGTATCAGTAAAACTAAACTAATATGTTTTTATTTATTTTCTTTAAAATATAATCATAAACCTCCATAATTATTTAATTTAAAAATATTAATTATCAAATATTAATGAAATACATTGCATTAAGAATTATTTTAGAATTTACAACTCTATTTTCTCCTTTACAAATTAAAATTATTGGACAAAGAAATAAATTACTAGGATAAATTAATTAAATATTTTTAATTCACTGATTATCAAAGTAAATCAATGAAAGCATTTATGTATTCTTCTTATTATTATAAAAAGTTGAAGCCCAAAGTAGCATTTAGCCATAAATTTTTGAATTTAAAATTTATACCAAGTTAATCATTTGTAAATATAGAAGTTAATCATTTGTCATATAAATTTCATAAAAGATATCATGAGAATGAATCAATCTAAGAATTTCTCTTAAAAGCAAATTGAAGGCATTCTCCAGTATGAATGGAGTTGGTAAAAACTCATCAAGATAAAAACAGAATTGTATTTTTAAAATTGTCCTTTAGGATGCAAAAATAATCAACTTGATATTTAATTTTGAAACATGAATTAAATAAATAATAAAAATTATAGGCAAATATTTTATATAAAAAAATTCAATAGGATTATTAATTATGTATTCATATATTAATGAATTTAAAATGATTTGATTTTAATTAAAATATATTTAATTTAAAGGCTAAGGCCTCTAAATTGATCAATAAGTATTATATTATATTTATCTAAGCAAGCAATTAAATGTTATGATAAAGCATTGATTATCAATGGATTAAAAAGAATGTAATATCAAAGGTGTTTCTAAAAATGAAATGTTAATATAGGAGTCTAATAACTAGAAAAAATTTCTTAAGATATTGTTTAAATCTTATGAGCTGCTTTTTTAAGTACCTGAAGTGTATAATTTGAGAAACTCTTCAATTGTAGATTTAAGTATCATATATTTAATATTAATAGTTGAATCTATAAATTGAAAGGATCATCCTGAAGGATTTTATTTATACTAAAATACTACAGATTGAGACCTTTTCTTTATTGGTTCATTTTCACCAAGGCCAATATTACAGAAAGAGTATTCTAGAAGAATTGAAACTCAATATTGGTCTTTTTGATAAACATAAATCAGAAAAGGGCTTAATTTTTAATGTTTTAGTATGTCAAGTGTTATTCTTTGTTTAAACTTTTGATTAAATTTGCTTTATTTTTATTCATCCTTTTAATTGATTCCTTTAAAATTCAAAAATTAAATTTTTTTCTATTATTCAGAATAATAAAACATCAAGTTTGAGATCTAAAGAAATTATAAATGATAATTATTATTTCAATTTTTTTATCATA